CAAACCTTAGATTTTATATTTACGAACATTCATACATTCAGGTTTACTCTAATTTTTGGTCCCACTTGTTACACTGTACCTATGCATCGTTAGTCATGTCTTTAACCTGTGTTTGCACATATGTTTGTTTTATGTTTGCTCTGTTTGTCATATGTCTTTACTATTTGCACTATTACTATATATGCACTGAGCTACCATGTTGCTCTTGAGAAGGTCCACTGATGTGCTGCTCACCTGGTGTTGCATGATCGCCCATGGTAGGTACAAAATATCAGCATGTCCTCCAGCTGGTGTCCCATGTCCAGTTTCTCCTCTTCTGAAAGCCTGTTGAACTCCGAGGTGAATTTGCTGAAGGAGAAACCACAGCGGCTGGCATCCCTGGCAGATCTGGGGTGGCTGGTCCTGTTCCACTGCTCAGAGAGGCAGAAATCCTGCAGGTTGGAAGAATATCAGACAGAGCATCAAAACAGGAAAATGTCACCTCTTTTCAAGTGCCAAGATAATTACGGTTAACATGAAGAGGACAAAGCTTTACTTTGCTTCCAGTCCTACAAAGTTTCTGATGTTCTTCTTGTATTGTAAGAATTCCCATAGAGTTTAATTAATATCTATTTTAATTAGCTGTTGCACAACTGCAGGACAGAGACACGGAGAGCAGCTGACCGATAAAGTGCTGTTCAGAGCAAAGTTCTTTTCCAAAGCCGTCCATCTCAAGCTGTTGAGGTTGCAGATGGTGACAGCGGGGAACATGAGCTTGGAATTGGAGATCAAAGTGATCTTCTCGTGCGATGGGTAGCTATAAAAGGTCATGACCATCTCCATGCACTGCCAGAAGGCACAACAAAACGCAAAGATGACGAATCCGGCCCATAGCCAGCGCCGGAACCAGTGTCGAGCCCGGAAAATGTTCGGGATTCCGTGTGCTGTGGTGTGCTGGATGTCAGACCTGATCTCCAGCAACAAAGCCTTTGCTCTCGGCTTGTTCTTATGTGGCATGATTGTGAAGAAGAAGCAGGAAAGGTCAAAGCAGACAAGCTCTCGTGAAATGGACTCGGAGATCTCAGAAAGATCTCAAACTGTTCTGAAACCAGATCATCCACAAAATGACCAAACTGCAAAGCTCAACAAAAGATATAAATATGTCACTTGGGACTGACCACAGGTGTTGAGGAGGCTGGGTAATCCATGTAATTCCACTTTGCATTAGAGGCGAGTCCATAATGAGGAGATTTTTTTTGTTCCTGTTAGATCAGACCAACCTGCTTCACTTAATTAGTCACTGACATTTGGGGCTGTGTAAATTAAAACTGGTACAGAGACAGAGATCTGTCAAAAGGACCAAGTCATGGAAGATTCACGAATAAGTGCCTGGGAACAAATATCAAGTAAAAAAGCAATACAGAGATTGTCATGATCAGTATGTCACCATTCAAAATGCCCTCCAGTCTGCTTGGGTATGGTTTTCCTCATCTGCAGTCATTGAGCATGATGAACGTGCTAAGGGCCAAGGGCCAAGGGCCCCTGGCTGCCATCTCCCATAACATGAGGCATCAGTGGTCCAGTGTCACGCAGAGAAGCAGCACAGTCCAGCTGCACTGAAAAAGGTGGGTGGAAGCGTATCGAATGTATCAGAAGTGACCACCCACTCGAAATGAATGCTTACATTCTCTAGTCCATTTCTGCTGTTGGTCAGGTTGTAGTTTACATTTTTTCAAAAAGAATTTACAATCTAAGGAAAAGAGCTGTAAAAAACACATCATGAGGCCTTTTGGCACAGCTTGATTATTGTCTTAATGCTTATGCAAACCTTGGACATTATTTTGTAAGCAAACCTGTAATATGTGACACTGGGCTTTAGAACCTCACATTTGTGCTGACTCTCTAGTCCCTTATTCCTCCAGTGAATTCACAAACCATTTTGTGGTTCTTAGTGCTGCTCATCTGTAGCCCCTGCAATGGTGATGTCCTCAAGATGCCACTGGGCTGCTGGCTCCCTCCGGGGCAGTGTTTCTCAACCCAGTACTCGGGGACCCCCAGACGTTCCACGTTTTTGTTGGACCAGGTTAAGAAACACTGCTCTGGAGAACCTCACCCAGTGCCCCTTGATAGGTAGGGAAGGTGCTACCCCAATCAAGAACCCATTGGCGATGATAGAAGCCTTTTATTGTATTGTTTAGAAAGATCTTTTCCATTTCCATCTTGAGGTAGGCATGGCTAAATACACTTTTGAAAAGCACTGTTCCTCTAAGTCTGGTAAAACTTCCCTTACTTCTCGGTAGGAGACAGGGTTCAGACTTCAGCACAGGATTTTTTGAGAGTTCGTCCAAAGTCTAGTCTGACTTGTCATCAGTGGACTCAAGTCTACTTCGTAAAACATCCGGTCTGTCCAGATGACCAAAACTCTCTTGTATTCCCTTAAAAATGATTGCATAATACATTATTCAGGTCATCAGCAAATTGATGATGTTCGGATATCCTCGCTCTCGGTATGATTACACTTGTGGGATCTTAACCATTCAGCAATCAGTAATGGCTTTGGTGAAAAATGCTCCTCAGACTATGATGTTAAAGCTTTTGTCAGCCAGTCAGTCTGTGGCAGTCAAACTAAGCAAAAGGCTGTATGCTTTTACTCCTATGGCACTTGGGTGCACAGAGACATCTACCTCAATCCAAAATAACTGATGAGGCTTTGGTGGTGACAATCATCTTCATTGTGCATCACTCTTAACATAGATATAATATATGCACTGGATGTCCAAGCAAGTGAACTGTAGAAATGACATCCCTTAGTCTGCAAACTGATGGTGAATTAAAAAAAAAAAAAGTTAAATGACCTGGAATAAAACGTGTGGCCAGAGAGCTACTTCTCTACCCTTATGATTAGAACCCAAGGTTTACATAAACACCCAGGTTTCTTAAATGAGAATCTTTAATGCTAATGCAGTTTCTAAAGAATCCGTGAGGAAAATTCCCTGAAAAACAAACAACCAAAGAAATACTGAAAATACTGAATACCACTTTAAAATCACACACGAAAACATCTCAGCTAAGTATATCTTTATTTTACATTTGTTCCCATAATAACATAAATACATCTGCATTACATTCATTCAAATTCTACATATCACATTAGGATTTTTAATAAGCAAACAAAACAACGAAACAAACCTAAACGGGGCAGATTTTGCATTGCTCATTGCACCACATCACAATATTCTCTTTTACAAAATCTACTTTGATGCTCAAGTACAGATATGTATTGCTACACAGACATTTCGGTTCCACTTGTTAGCTAAAGGTGGTTTGATTTGAGACATTTTCCACCAAAAGTCTGCACATCATTAGAGTCACATCAGCCAATATTCAGGGTTAAGTCTAAACAAGCATTATGCCAGTCATTTTTTAAGCAGTAAAATGGCAATGTTTGAGAAAGATGTCCAAAGGATGAAAGTTCACTCATTTATAGTCTACGCATTGCTTGCATGTAGATAAAATTGTTTTATCTAGTCACAGTAAAGCAGCATTCTTACGGATTAGCTGCCTAAATGATTAGATTATTATGTGATGTGTTTCTGGGTGGTGATTTTACCAAAAGTATAAGTTTGTGTTTGGGGGTGATGGAGAGGCTCCAGAATAAAATCCTGGGCTGGTGAGAGTATAATGAAGCTTTGTCTTTCATCATAAAAGGTTAAACAATCAGGGTATCCTTTCTGGTCATGCCACATTTATTCTACAACGCACTTAAAATCTGTGCACATTTTACATGATCGTTATCAAGCATAAATAACATATTTTGAAAGGGAGGGAAGCCATTCCGTCAAAAACTAAAGGCATTACCGGGAAACAGAAATGAACAGGAATGCCGTACTGAGGAGTATAAGACCAGCTAAGAGAAGTGCAATTTAGTCATTTTAGTAAACGGATTCCCCTTCCTTCTGTCCAAGTCCTCCCTGAGAGGTAAACATCAAATGAAAAGACAACCAGTTCCCTTTTCCCCCACCTCACAGCTCCCCCTAGGGTTTGGGGTAGCCCCTGCCCCTTTGAAGTCTAACAATCGGTTTCATGCGATATAAGGCAACAGTGACGGCCGAGGCTAAATTCTAACAGCAGACGGGGGATAAGAGTGTTTTTCTGGGTTTTTCTCCTCAAAAAATACTGGACATTGTCCGACAAGAATCTTAGAGCAAAGGATTCCCTCGGGTGCATGAAAATAATTTACGTCAATTAGGCATTATTCAAATAACAGCATTTCCACAATTTTTCATAAAACAGGAACACGTCCAAAGCAAACCAATAACGCCAGGGCATTTTTTAAGGGTCAGTTAAGAAAAACTGACTGCATCTGATTAACTGACAAAGAAAATAAAACATGGTTAAAAAGAGTTAAAGTGCTTAAGTGTTATTCAACTACATTAGTTAAATTTACATGGCATGAAGTGAATAGCGGCCTTGCTTTTGCAGCGCAGTGAGTACAATCACTGATAAAGGGACTACATTTGCTGCTATACCATTCTATACACCTCATCCTTGGCTAATCTGGATACATCTGTAACACCATGTTTTCGGTAGTCAAATTTACACAAAGCTTAAGAAATTTCGAGCTCTGCAATGAAACTAAATGATAGAACTTAAAGAAACTGGTTAATGCCGCACCTACTCTCCATGCAGTGTCTACAAAACAGGCCCATTTAAAATGTTCTTCAGAGGTACAAAAATAAAATTATTGACAATTGTTATCTCAACAACCACTATTGACAGTTCAGACCGATAAGGCAATTTCCTCTCTTGTATTATATTTGTCCACTTTATGGTCATACAAGTTTGGCTCCTTGCAACAGGAATAGGGTTATGTGCCTTAAACAGATTAAAGAAAATAATTAAAATGGAAATCTAACAAACAAATTCAAAATGGTTTTCTTGAGTGAGAGTGATAAAGCCTTAATAAGCACAACAGAAAGTGTGTATGTGTATGTGTGTGTGTAATATATATATATATATATATATATATATATATATATATATATATATATATATAGTTAAATTAAGATGAACAAAACAAAAGCAAACCAATCCTTTTGTACTTTGTGTTTCGTATTAATATCCTTACAACCAGCATGGCTGATCAACACTGCCACCCGCTGGGAGGCACTGGCACTGCATACGTTGAAGTTGCTAAAAGCTGGAATAAGCGGCCACTTGGCAGCACAGACTCAAAAAACAAGTATCCTCCCTCCTAGGAAGTGCTACCACTCTAACCTTTTGCAGCCTTTACATTACATGCATTTATTATTAAATATATAATATCAGGGCCCTGCAGTGACTTGGAGATAATGTGGCTCATTTCCTGATGATTAAAATACAATTAAAGTCATAAACACAAAAAAAACCCACTATAAATAAATAAACTAGAAGCAGGTGTGATGATTCGTCCTCTTCCCCCAGAGCAGTGTCAGTTATCTTCTCCCACCCCCTACAGTCTCTGAACCTACCCACCATCCTCTGGATTCCCACTGATGAGATGACTGTGCAAATACTCGGGGGAGGGGGAGTGGGTATTTGATCCAGGCTTGTCCCATATGTCCCTTAAACTACTGAAAGTGCCCCACTGTGGATCTGCTGGCCTTGACTTGCTATGACGCTGCACCAAGGGTCACCTTCAGGTTCTCGTACACCACGTAGCTGATGCTGACCGCTGGGATGACCTTCATGAAGTTCGGGGCGATGCCCCTGTAAAGCCCAGTCACTCCTTCTGTCCGCACAATATGTCTGAAGAGTCCAGTCATGGTCATCTGAGGTCCGCCCTCCAAGGAGGCTGGGGTGGGGAGAAGACGCAAGGGGTTGCAACAACTGGGGTATTCAGTCATTTTTGTTTTTTATTACCCTGAGGACCGTAGGGGATCCGGCCTACCTTGAGCCTGCATACGGGTTCGGACCAGTGCCAGCGGGTAGCTGGACAGCTGGCCGCATGTGCTGGAGGTGGTCCCACAGGCCAGCAGCACAAACACACCAGGGTCGGCACTGTCTGTGGCATACCGCTGCAGCCATGAGGTCTTCAGTGTCTGAGTGGGGCGGGGTGGCGGGTTCATAAGGACAGAGGAGACCCAATGTAATCCAGCAAATGTCTATGACTGCAGTGTTCAGTAAATCAGTGAAGAGGCACTCTAATAGTGAACGGCCAAGTTAACAAGAACTGTTACACGAATTCATGGTTAAATGGCTGAACACTGCAGTAACTTCTTCATGATGGAAAATAACGATGACAAAATGGAGTCGGACTAAACGGGGCCCTGCGTGGCTCGCGGCTCACCTCGTACACGGCCAGGTCAATACCCGCGTAGGGAATGATGCCCAGCATGTTGGGAACGTAGCCCTTGTAAAACGCCGCAAGTCCCTCCTTCTGGAAGATATGCTTGGCACAGTCTACGATGCCAGAGTACTGGCCGGTCCTCCGCAAGGCCAGCCGGGTCTTCAGGACCTGGCAAGGAGACAAACGTTCATGGTCATTCCAGAGTGGTCAAGACGCAGGACAGACCGGACTGAACCCACCTACTTCTGGGCCACATACTACTCACCTCCATTGGGTAAATGCTGCTCTGAGCGATGGCTCCTGCCAAGGAACCGGCGACCAGCCGCTCCATGATCCCAAGGGACTCCTGCTTGATTCCTATCAAGCGTTTGATCTGAGTCGGGGGCAACAGCCAATCAGGGCTTGGGAGGCAGGGAGGGGGACTAAGGAGCCAATCGGAAACTGGGGTGACTTACCTGCTCATAGGCCATGAACTTGATGGCGGACTCAGGAGCGATCTTGATGACGTTGATGCCATTCCCCCTCCACAGTGAGCGCAGCCCGCCCTCACGGATCATCTGGATGAAGCCTCCAGTCATGCTCATACTGTTACGCCTGGAGGCGTGGACCTGACACACAAAGGGGGTGGATGGAGTAACACACGAGCAGGTCGGGCGGGGCAATGTCCAAAAAAAAAAAAAAAGCAACATTCTCATTTTAAAATATCGGGATAAATGATAATATCCATTCGCCCAACACAGACTGAAACAGAGGAAATTGAAACCAAAATCATAGATCTTGTTATCCTGCTTCATTGTGTAGCCCAAGCCTGCTTCCCTGAGAAAACCGCTCCTTACCTGCATGAGTACTTTGAGCCTGTCCAGCGGGGCAGTGCATGTACGGGACACGGCGCCTGCACCTCCTCCTGCCACCAGGTGTCGCCACCACATCCCAGTCTTCCGCTCCTCTGCCGTAAACTCGTCTGGCACCAGCAAGCTCTCACCAACATCAAATATCTGCAGTCAGATAGGGAAAAAAAGTTCAGGAGAAAAATAAATTAATAAAAATTAATCAATTAATCAAATTAAAACAACCGAAATGGAAAAAAAGACCCCCTACCACGAATGTTTGATGAAATAAGCTGCTAACAGGACTTACTCTGGAAGTGTCTCCTTTGAATTCTGTGGTGTAAATGGCTCAGAATATTCACTGTGTTAGAATATTTGAATATTCTACAATGCAAGTGTCTAACCCCATGTGGTACCATAGGCAAGCTTCATCGCCATCCTGAGGTTGAGCTACCTCTTCAGTTTAAATTTATTTCAAGTAAGGTGACTTCTAATTTTGAAGTTACTCTTCTGCAGTGATGAGTGATCTCACTGTGTAACAGGCCTGTACTACGTGCAGTGTTACAGTATTTCTCAATAATTATTACTATTCCTCTTTGCACTGGGCAGTGCAGAAGGCCCCCACCAGTGCCCTCCAACATGATCTATCTTTCACTGACAGATTGTTCTTCTTTAGCAAACTAAAGCTAATTCATGTCAAGGACACCAGCTTTAAAACTGCAAAATTATACACTAAATTATAGTTAGTAAAATTCACTGGCAAGTAACATCAAATTTCCTGAAGAATAGCAAACTAAAGTCACACAGCATTGTATAACTCAAAAACAGCAAAATGACAATAAAAAAAACAACAAAATGGAACAAAATCATGTACCGAGGGAAGCAAATATACAACAATGTCGCATCACTGCAATTTATAGAATATATTCTTGAATCATTCTGAAAGCTGCTGAACTGTTTTGCACATGTAGCTTATACAATGACCTCATACATGCATAGTTTTGGGTGTAAAATTATTGCAGTGGGAAACGACTTAGACTATTTTACCAAACAAGACTTAAGCACATGAAAGCAGAGACAATCGATGCAATTTGTGTGAAAAGAGAAATTATGTTCTTCTGTGAACCAGTGATATGGTGTTGAGATTACACTTGTTTTACAAATGTTGTAATTCGAGGAATGTTCTAGAACAAAATCGAAAAAAACTAATATCTAAAGTGCACGTTACGCACATGCAGCTGTCACATTGCAAGAGCAGTGATAGTTGACTCCATCAATAAGTTTCTAAAACATCTTTAGTGTCACAGAACACAAAGCATAGCAACCCTGTTAATGATTGTTCCTTTTGAAGATTATCTCATCTGAAGTTTTCCACTACTATTTCTGTGTGAGCTTAGCATGCCCCCTCCAAGCCAATCACAACTGTGCCCATCCCTGCTGTTGGACCTGCTCAAACGACTGAAGACGAGAGAAGCGAAGAAGAACTGGTCACCAAAAGACATCCATCTTCCACTGAATTGAAATATTTTAGATTCCACAGAAACAATATTGAGCAAAAAGCAAGTGATTTATCGGCACTGCTTTGTGTTTGTAGGCACAACTCACTGCAACACCGGCAACTTATCTGATCATTTATGTCTCATAATTCAGTTGTTAGAGTTAAACCAGAATGGAAGTTAACTACTGACTTGCCTTTCCCACTAAAGACAGACTCTCTTGGTAGATGAGTTCTATTTGGCGATTGTTTATTTTAGGTACATTTTCAAAAGATGTTTTATTTTATAAATACAGTAAAATTCTGGGAAAATATTTTCAAAGTCACAGGGAAAAGGTATTCATTAACTACCTCCATTTCGGCATTCTGTGAATCGATACTGAATCATCAAAAAAAGTATCGCAATTAATCATTAGAAAGAAAGAAATCAACATTTTTTCCCCCATCACTACATTTCGTTGTGAATTAAAATGTAAGAAATTTCTGTGAAGAAGCTTTTGGTGTGAAACAAAGAGAACTGAAGAAAACTGATGTTTTAACAGCGGCGTCCATGGGAGAAGAATGCTGAAGAGAGAGCCTTGGTGAGCTGCGGAGGCAGGCTAGGTTAAGGAACCCGGCTGAGAGTCAAGCCTAAACACTGACATCTGCGGTGCACGTGGCCATTCGGGGCTACAGGGTTCAACCTGACCACATCTCCCCCCATCCTTCTTCCTTCCTCTCCACCGCTGCTCACTCTGAGCTTTAGCGGCCCCCACCGAGGCCTTACACCCTCCAGCAGGCGGTTCTAGTTTCTGTTAAGCAAGCTGCTAAGAGACGGGTCTTCTCAAATGTTCCTCGTATGCGACAAGGCATTCTGGGATATGCTCAAAATATTCGCTTTGTTTATAACCAGTCTTCCAGCCCACTGTACACTAACAGACTAATTGACATCGATGGTTGCACCAGTGACCCATTTTGAGGATTAATCCGGATCCTGATGGCCAGGAGAAGGATTTTAAATGGTGCTGAACTCTAAACGCCAAGGAGGCCACAGTGGTTGGGGCAGTAAATAAAACACTACATTTATATTAGCATGATAGTTGTATAAACAAACAAAGACGGGACTTTTTATAAACCATGGGGGACTGTGTGTGTTGCAGCAGGATAAGCCTCTGTGCCTGTGATCAGAGGGTCGCGGGTTCGAGCCTGGTCTAGGCAGAAGTCACGTGTCCATGGGCCGTTGATCAAGGCCTTTAACCCCCAACTCCATGAGCGCCACATGCTGGCTGGCGCTGTGCTGTAACCCCCAAGATTGCTACATATGTGCCTGTTTGTCTTATAGAGAGAAGATGGGGTAAAGAGAATTTCCTCATGGGGATTAATAAAGTATCACAATTCTACTACTCTTTTCTAGAGTACTGCTTGTGATTAGCGATTGGCTGGGGGCATGTCAATGAGAGGATTAAACTCTGCAGGATTCACTCCAATCTTTACTCTAGACTTTTTGTTGGTGCAAAGCAGTAATGTAAGGGCTATAAATCCACGCCTCCAGGTTTGGCCAGCACCCCAACTACATAACCGCTGCCCGACCTGCTGGGAGGGGGCCGGGTCTTACCGTGGAGTGCTTCCAGTACAAGATGATCTCTGGGATGTTGTCGGCAGGGTGAAGCAGGTGGTAGTCCCTCCACTCGTTCCAGTCGATTGTCATCGTCCCGTTCTTATCCATGCTGTGGGTCGACAAAACAGGTGACCGACCAGTCACAGCCGAGTCCGGCACGTCACCAAAGCGAAAAGGAATTCCACGAAAACTGAATCATCGCAAGTTTTGTGAAAATCATCACTATGTTTCTGTCTTAATGTAAGAATCTGCATACAGACAATGAGGAGAACATGCCCCAGGATGTCAGCACATGCACTTCATTTTCCATGGATCGTTCCTTCATACTGCAATGGAAGTACCTCCTGGTGATGTCACACAGTCAATTCCTTATTTGATATGCAAGATGCCACCTTGGAAAGCAGTGACCATTTTGGTGGAATTCCCTTTGAATATCTGTGCATTCCCAACCCTTGTGGATTGTGGGGGGGGGGGTACATGCCAACAGCCTAATGAAACTGTGATGGTCTTTTCAGCCTGATTTCTGTCTCATGTTGTGCTTCTACGATTCCCCCCCTTCGGATTTAGTGCCTTTCGTTGGCATCCCAGTTTTGATGAAGAAGCATGGTGATAATGAATATGTTGAGTTTGGGGGGTGGGAGGGGGGCAGCTGGAGAGATGGTGTCTGCTCACCATTAACCATTATGGTGGGAGGGGCAAGGTTTAGGCAAAGCCAAGCAACTGGAGCGGAATCCATTACTTACTACGCGAATGGAGCCCAGATGTGCCCCCTCCCGATTCTGAGACACACAATGGAGGAGAAAGAGGCGAAGAGGGAAGCACACAGACAGACGGTTAAAACCGACAAACACTGGAATGGATCGACTCCTCGTGGGGAGGGGAGCCCTTTCGACAGACCAGTAAACGAGAGCCAGGCTCAATTGTGCAAGCAGTCTGACTGTGGTGACGTAGGAGGACGGGTTCGAAACTGAAACGGGTACCTCTGACACACCAGTGAAGAAAAGGGGTGAGTTTTCGGTCACAGTGAGCCTTTAGCCCAGTGCTGAGTACTAGGAAGCGAGTTTTACATACCCAAAGTTAACTTAATGGTTAGTAACAATGGGAGTTACTTGACTTGGGCTTTCTTAATCAAAGGCTATGCATGATTGCATAAAAGGGGTGGTGTCAGCACTGGAAACTAAGGATGCAAACTAAGGGCTGCCCTTTAAGAGGTAGGTAATGCAAGTCAAATTTTATAGTCAGCACCCCAATACAAAGTGCCTGGAACTGACCACCAGTATTGGAATAAATCTTTCGGTATGACTTGGTATTGGATCTAAAGGATAATCAGTGGAATCGCACATCCCTACTATCCAGTTAAAGGGTGGCGCCTATACAGGCTACGTTTATTGGTGAAAGGGGCGGGACTTACGCCTCTTAATCTGAGAGCCTGCACTTAAACCTGCTCTGAGCAGGTTAGGTGTGTTCAGCATAAATTACATACCTCGTTTAAAATTGAGTTACAATTCCTAGTACCCAAAACTCGGAAGTAAGCCCCAAGAAACCCTGTTAACTCACTTCACAGTGCACCCCTCAGATTTGATAATGTGTAACAGAAACACGCATAATCAGAGTAAGAAAAATCAGGTTCCGTCTAGCTTAAAAGTCACCTAGAATACCTCAGGGAAATACTTGATTTGAAGCATAACAGGTGACCTATAGCTTCTTCAAAGCCTGCATGTTTCCCACTAAGCCTGAGGCTCTGGAGGAACATGGTTCTCAAGGTCACGTCTGAGCAGGGCTGCCTCTCTCAGTAGCTTGGGAACATGCTAGGCTCATACACTCTGGATATTGCACCAAGGACAGCCCCCCCCCAAATGAGGTTTTGAAATTAAACTGGTCTGGACTGCATCTGTGAAGGACACACAAAAAGCACAATTCATAGACGTACAGAGGGAACATTTTGGTGTCGTATGGTTATTGTGAGAAGAACCGTTCAGCAGAACTCAAACCCACAAACGTTCTCCCTGTACTCCTACCTTTTTAAGATCTTCTCCGCCTGCTGCTCTGAGATGTGTACCCCGAGGTCCTTCAAGGACTGCATGATCTCCTGTGAGTCAATGTGACCTGCCCATTAAATCACACAGAGTCACTGTACAAGCACAGTTATGACAATAAGAACATTATCCCCAACATAGTGGACTGTTATCAATGTTAGTGACAATTTAATCATGCCCTGCTTTGAGACTCAGTTCCCAAGTGTGATCAAGCTGACACACTTGATCCAGGTGCTACTGGCCCCTCTGAATGGTCTTACCATCATTCTTCTTGTCTAGACTCTTGAAAACGAGCCTCAGCTTCTTCTCATGGTCACGAAGGTAGTGGACAAATTCCTCAAAGTCCAGCTGTCCATCTAGGTCCTTGTCCCCGGCTTTTACAATTTTCTAGATGGAAGGTAGAATGACGCAAGTCATAGCTAGTTAAACATGAGATCTGAAGCATGGAAGCACAACTGGTGAAAGAACAAGCCACAAGACAAACACAGACCAGAAAAATGACACAAAAATGACTCAAGCGCTATACAAACAACCGCCACGTATATCACAGGACTGCCTTCCATTAAGTGTTCTGCCAGCCACTGTCTGCCGGAATCACCCATCCTTCTGCTCTATTAAGCAGTATGCAGCCCTTATCACAGAAGGGCTACAGCACTTTTCATGCTTGGCAGATCATGGCTAATATGCAAATGGAGGGGGGCTCATGTGGATATCGCCCTGGCCAACCCGTAAGATACTCTGCAAAATGTTTTTCTGGCCATTTGTCAGCAGTAATAGTCAACCAGACAGCGTTCAGGGAGGTAAAACCAAACCTGAGGATCAACTTAATCCCTCCAAATTTATTTTTATATCTGCGTTTTAACTCAATAAAGCTCTGTAGGTCTTCACAATGCAAACTTTTGGTCAAAAGATGCATTTTTACAACCGCAACACTAAGTAATAAAATATTAATTATTTTTTAAATCACTTGAAGGGCCAATTCATGTATACTTTATGGGTAACACACACCAGTGTAAGGTTCTGGAGCACCTTGTTTGCCCTATCAGATGAACCTTTTGGTATTTGGTGAAGGTTAACTTGCTCTCTGGCAGTTTAAATTTGGTCCCAGATACACTGAGATGGTTTCTAGCTTTTAAGACTGGAAGCCTTAAACATAGTTTTCCAGTGGTTGGGTCAGTAGTGAGGTATGTGCTTCTGCACATTACAATGCTGTGCCTGCTCTCTCAAATGTACATCACACGATACAAGCATCTGCTAAATATTTTTATAATATATAATATTTTTATATAAATATAGATATCGCTACCACAGGCTTGTCTATGGGGATCCATTTCCTTACTCCCACGACAATTCTTTGTTGGCTTTTGACACACAGACGTTATGTAATGCTACTACGATTATTTTAAATCAGTACCCGACCGCATATATTCTGGGTAGTGTGATCCATCAGAAGAACAAATGGACCCATCACCCAGAAGATCGAAGGCCCAGACAACTTACTCTCATATCCCAAACTGTGCGGTTACAGGGTCGACAGACCTCGTCCTCCAGTACTCCTCTACGTTCTCAATAACACCATTCGAAACCCAGTAAAAACTAGCCCTGGCCAGACAGGCCAACGTCATGGAGGGAAATTGAGCTGTGACGCTCATTCAAGTAACAATTAAAGTCATTTATGGGTTTCACCTTGCATCTGGTCAGGGTCTGCTGGAGGCTGTGTATCCCATACAACCTGGACTCTCACTAGCTGAAGCTAAACAAACAATAAGACAAAAGCATTTCCTTCTGAGAGAGAATTCAAGTCACAAAGGGAATATAGTGTAAACCCTCAGACATGAAATGGTCACAGTCTCCTTTTAGATCCTCCGTTGTCAACATTGCAAACCTAGACTGATAAGATTATTGGAAAATGTCAAAGTCTAGTCTGACGACACCTTAATCCACTAGTTTGCAGCATGGATTTTAAGCCCACCTCTTCAAAAGAATCAGACTTTTAAACCACCTCTACATTTCCACAGTATACCAGACCCTCATTTATACCTGGATTCCTGGGAAATATTAATTTTCCACGGTAATCACTTGAGTGTTGCGAAGATCTTTAATTTGTATTATTACCATCGTTCATTCAGAGGTCCGCTCCATGTAACGACAGATTATCTGAGCGCTTTAATACATTAAACAGACAGAATACACCAATAAATTACCACAAGAAAAAAAAATAGCTAAATGAGGCAATGACTTCAGTGTTGAGCCAAGTTTAATGTCATTGCCCGGTGTCGTAGAACAACTCGTATTAAAACAAATTAAAACGGGTTAAGGATGGCATAGGGAGATCAGGATAACTGGGACCTATTTCTATGGGAAAATCTCCTACACTCCTACACCCCACACACAAGACCACTACATCATAAATCAAAATATGCCAGCGAAATACCTGGACGAAAAACTGACATCATTTACCGTACAAAAGCGGTTCAGACAGACTTTCTACATTTCACGCGCATCATCATGTTTATCTGAGTGGGACAAGGAACAAGTGAAATCCTGCAAATTCATCACGCCAGACCAGATAACGCTGCAAAAAAGCGCTGTGCGTACCTTTCGCCAGCTTCGGTACGTAGAGAAATCCTGGGAAGACAAAAATAAACTAAGTTTAAGACATTTCAGCCTGGACGGCAGTCCGTCAGACTCGAAATACTCAAATTCACCTTGGCTCGAATTGGGAACGGCCACGTATAAAGACACGCACAGCATCTTTTTTTAAATAAATAAAAAAAGTTCGATGCCAATGTACAGCAGCAACATGTAAGCAGATCGGACAGCCGTCCTACAGCAGCATCACTCACATTCCAGGACTCAAACGCCGATCACACATGGCAAAGAACTTCAATGGCACCCTGCTCTATTAATCGGGGGCGTGACTTCATTGGTCAGCATGCAGGAGCCGGCTTATTGTGCAACGTGCAGCGACCAATCAGACGAGACGATTCCTGCAGTAGACGTAGTACGAAGCCCCGCCTTTCATTCAGCACGCGGAAGGCATGGTCGGGCTGCATTTACGCTTCAGATCATCTATCTCGGCCCGTGGCGGCGCTATTGGTTTAATTATCCGGGTGCTATTTGGGAGCAAGATTAATTTGAGCCTGAGCTTTAACTTTTAGGCTACATGTACAAGCCTCGATAAGCTATTTAGGATAATAAAATACTAAATAAATTCGAACTTATACAAAAGCAGGCTTATGTGTGAGAGTAATAGACCATGACGGGAAAACAGTAGAAATCTCTCACACTAAAAACTACCACTTTCCTGTCCTGTGCCATCTGCTGTTTCAGTTTGAGCCTCCAGACGAGGGAATTGTTGAATTAGGAATCGGAAATGCTTCTTCTGTGGCTAACGCCTAGAAAGCTAATTAGAAAGAGGCAAACGCGCAGCGAACTCTGCAGTCAAGGTCAGAGGAGACGGGTGATGTCACAATCCCTTTGAAATAAATTTTAATAGACACTTGGTTTAGAAATGAAACTTATGTAGCAGACGAAGCATTATGATTTACCAAATTCAAAGACAACAAAAAGAAACCATTTTTGGGGGGTGCCATGGTGAATATAAGGAGGAGCTATAGCCAGCTCCTCCCTGGCGCCGCCGCTGATCTCGGCTCGCACAGCTCGTCAGAATGCTTTATACCAGGTTAAATAAGACGGTAAGATTATTATCTTACTTATCAATCTTTAGGAAGGAAAAAACGCAATGAAATTGAAGCTTCAGTCGCATCTAATGCGAAATTGTTTTCTTAATTTAGTAATGAAGTAAAATTTAGGATTATAATTAATATTTTAAGTAATTTGATAACACTAAATCATGTATTTTTTTTTAACGAAAGCACCCAAATCCGTATCGGACATGGGAGCAAGACCAAAGGAAAGGACAGATAACTGCTAATCTTCTCAAACTTAATCTACATTTTCACTCTTAAAGACTTAATGCCCTCAATGCACACAAAGACTTAAAAAAACGTACTTTTCTATACGAAGAGTATTCGAAAGTAATCTGCTAGACTATCAGTGGTGTTCAACCCTATAACCCTCAGGACCGCAAACCAAGGTCCAAGGATGACATGCAAATGACGCCGGACACACAAATTACACAGGATGTATCAACAGAAGAGGATTAGACGCTTTTTTTCAGATGGAAAGGGGATGAGCTGGGCTAAGCAAATGGAGCAATTCGGATTTAATAAAAGGACGACGCGGTATTAAAGATAATTGAGGATAAATAGAAACAAGGAAGCAGAAGGAATCTGGCAGGCTAGACCTACCCCCCTCCTGCAGATATTACCCATATAATAGAACCTCATTATATAAATCTATGCCTCAGGCAGTAGATTGTAACAATCCATGCCATTCACCAGATTATTTTGAATCAATTTTGCCAGATTCAGCAGCCTTGGGGTTGGGATCAGCAGAAGATCAGTGTGAGAGTCTATGGGAGTTTGAGCCAATCAGAGAAACTTACACAAAGCGCTAACCGCTAACCTCCATCATTAATGCTAAATTTGGATACTGAATACAACCAACAAGAACAGGCAGTCACCAGGATTTGAACGAGATCCAATCCCCAAGTCCATCCTTAAGTCAAATTTGTAGGCAAGCCCAAAAAATAATACTGTACATAATAAAATAAGGGGAAGCAGTGGTTAGCAGTTGGGATTCAGCGTTTTCAGAAAATGGATGGATGGATAATAAAATAATAATTATACAATAAGTGACTAAATACTGTACTGCACCTCGAGCCGACGAATCGCTGAAGCTGCGCAGCATTTTCACAAACGTCACAAAGTAGTCCGTGCATTCGTTATTACGAACCATTGTGTTTAACTCAAATTTTGTAATAATAGGCTTTATGGCGGTCCTTTCATAAGGATGCATTGTCTAACTTGGATATTCTTAACCCAGGAACTTGTGTTAACAATAAAGCAAATTTTCCCCAAAGACACTGTTTGTCACCAAAGACATTTTTAGTTTATAGAGGAGAAGTTTAATGGACTTTTGGGTAAGGAGTCAGCCAAGTGCCAAGAAAAAGTGTTTTCAGTGTGTAATTAAGTGACGGTAAACATGATGACATCATTTAGAGGCCGTGAGGGCTGGGTGGTGGGAAATCAGGCAGGAGCATTCAAATGCATAAAGGAAAATTACAGCAACCAAGAGCACAAAGTAAGGTCATTGGGTAGACAGTGGTCCAATGGGCAGGTTTGGCTAGAGAGACTAAAATCGAGCATGACTGCTGCATATCAAGGCATTTTGCTTTCACACTTATCGACCTGCCTCGTCAACAAGACGCAGGGAACAGTAGTCAAAAGCTGCTAATTGCACAGGAAAACAAGGAGAAAAGC